GGGGGGTGTGATCCTGGCCGTTGATCCATTTGAGATCAACGGCCCTGCTCAACTGGGACAGAAGCGGTGTCGTTTGGGCACCTCTGAGGAGACGGACCATTTTAACTCATTGGGCCAGCTCGTTTGGGCCTATTTTTATTTTAATTTCTTGGCCCAAACCGAGTATTCTTATATTTTTCCTTTTCTTTTCTACTTTAATTGACAAAATTAAATAAAACTCCTAAATAAATTGAAAAAATCAAAAAATAAAATTATACACATATTATTTAACACCTATAATAATTAACACACAAATTAACATTGAATAAAATCACTCAATGACAAGAAACACACATGCATATATTTTTGATTTTCTTTTAACCAAATTATGGTTAATTGATTTCTGAATGTACCATTAATTCCTAAATACATGCAACATGTATTTTTGTATTTTCAACTATTGCAAGGTGAGTGTTTACGGACAGAACAATTATCAAAAATGTCACGCATATTCTCAAAATTGTACCCGAAGGTAACTTGTTTTATTTTTTATTTTTATTTTTTATATTTTTCGATTTATTTTGGAGTAGTTTTTCCATGAAGCAAAAATCACGTGCTCACACCCCTTAAAATACCGTTTTTCCATGTATATATACCAAGTAGGGTCGGGCCCAAACTATTATACCTTCTCCTATGCGAAAAATGACAAGTTTCCAGGTCTGGACGTCCGCGGCCCTGGCGCGACACGGGTGCGGTATTTGGCAAGTATACTGCCTCAGCCCGCCTCAGGTCCGCAGTCGCAGTTTCGACCATATTTTTCACCCTGTTTCGTTTGGAATCTGGAAAAACGTAAAACATAAAAATTGTAGCGCTTTGAGTTATCGTTTCAACCATATATTTTGGAGCCCAAACGGAGTTCGGAGCAAAAAGTTATGTGCATTTTACTAGACAGTATGTAACATGCCTACTCGATTCTTCGTTTTGTTGCTCTATCATCCGTTGATCCCCGAATACGATCCCGGCTTAATTACTTGGGCTTTTACTCAGATTTCAAAGCTTCAAATCACTTGAGTTAATTCCATAACATCTACATAGCTTGGAATCACTCCTACAAGGCATAAAACACACAATTAGTGCAAGACACTAGCGATTAAAGCTCCAACTCAATTAAAGTGCAGTAAATTTGAGTGTAATATGCGACTAAAATACGTAATTATAGCCTATCATTAATCAACAATAAGAATTTTCTTTACTTCTTCTTTATTGCTATTATATTATTCTCATCTATAATTACTAAATCTCATCTATTTTTTATTGGCAAAAATCAACTGAATTGGAGTGAAATAATTGCTTATGGCCTAATTTTATAAATTTAATTGATTTTGCCTATTAACCAAATTTATGTTAAACATAGACAGGTTCTAGTTCTGTGTGCGAAATACATGCAACGAAATGAAATTTCATTTGCTTTTCTTTGAATTATCATATTATAGCTGATGAGAATTTTTAAATCCAACGAACCTGCAGTTACAACATGCAAAAGGAGCGGATCATCTGCCCTTTCCGTTGTACAAAATTGCAAAAAAATTTGGCCAATTAGTTCCATATCATCTGAAAGAATGATTTTGATGAAGCTTTTGACATAACTTTCTACTGAGTAAAACTTATCAACCTATCCATTTGATTGTGAAAGCCACAAGTTGGATACCCTTGGTGCAAGGCCTACAAGCGATCTAAAGTCTTGTTTATGTAGCTTGCGCATTTGTCAATCTATAAAAAATTTATTAAGATTTTCTCTAATAATTATCCTATACAATTTACAAAATAATTTATCACAAGTTATTGGTCTTTTCTTGATTTCATAAAAGAAACTCAAAGTTGCGGCTAGTCAAATTAGTATCACAATCTTATTTGAAAATGAGTATACATAACATAGATTAGGAAAAAAAAAATGGAATACTGATAAATTGAAGAAGAATAAGACAATTTTATTCAAGAATGAATATACATAACATAGATTTAGAGAAAATGGAATAATAAATTGAAGAAAAATAATATTATTCACGAGTTACAACATATTGCGTCCAAGGTGAGTTTGCTAATGGACCAATGTTATTCCATTCTTGAGTGAGCTGGAGCGCAATCATCTTACGCATTGAACGAGCCAGAAGCTAACTCTTACATATCCCATGATCATAGAAAATTATTGCCAAAAATAACTATAGCATTATGCTTTATTTTAGTAAAATAAAATTAAAAGAAAATAAAGAATTCTTCTCTTTTCTCTAGGAAAAAAGACAAAATGCACCCTCCTCTAATTTTGTCTAGTGCAGTCGAATCGGATCTCACCCTGGTTACCGGTCAAAACTCCGACCCGACCCAACTTTATCATGGCAGTAGCAAAAGCTTGTTTAAAAGCATCATTGTTAGAAGCAAAAAAGTTGACAGTATTTCTTGATCTTGGATCAGTGAACAGAATCTGATCAGAGACAAAAAGACCTTTTCCTTGTTGAAGATTTTTGAAGTAAGCGTTGTCAAAGGTATTTGGTGTTGTTGGATCCATGTTAATGGCAATTCTCGGGTCAACCCGTATTGGGCACATTTGCCTGAGTTGTGCGGCGTATTGTCGGTTTAGGGTCGGGTCAACTCTGCTTTTTGGGCTGAAATTGTAGAGTCTCTTGGAGAATTTACTGCAATGGGAGAAACCAAGGGTATGTGCACCTATAAGACATAAAAAGATAATTTGAGTTATATATAAAGACAATATAATAAATTATTTATGTTATTATTGTAATTTAACCTTTTATGACAGGTTAGTTATTATTTATTTTAGATATAGTACATTATTATTGTAATTTAACCTTAAACCCTAAACCCGCTTTAAAAAAATCCTAAACCCTTTTACTCTTAAAAGAATTATGACAGGGTTAGTTATTATTTATTTTAGATTATCAATGTTATACTTGCAATTATCCTTTTAAGTAACATGTTCGTGTAATTATTTTTTTACACAAATTGGTGCATTGAATTTAAACTCATTGTTTTGTTTTTAAATTTTAAAAAGAAGTTAAGTGTATATTGTTGTAAGGTTTTTCTTCTGTTTTTTTTTTTTCAACAAAAAATTGATATATATTAAATTTAAGAAAAGGTTGTATGCTACATAGTAAAAAGATAATCTATGCACTAAAATCCTCTAAAGACTATCAACTTTTGTATACTATAACATCTATACCAAAAATAAAATAATTAAATTTAAAATGACTATCAATTTACTTAGGGATTCGACAATGGATAAGAATTTTACTTTCAGTGCATAACTTAAATCCATACCTGACAATGCAATCATATCAGTCTGGCTAAGGCCATGTCTGGCAAACATGGTATTGAGCTGGTCTAGGTTGAATCCCTCCCCTGGAAGTTGATGTTGGACTCCTGCTAATGTAGAAACTCTCCCATCACGACGGCCCAATTCCACTTGGTAAAATGGGCCTCCAGTCTACAATATAAAAGAAGGGCACTAAGTATCATAGAAATGACATCAGGTAGCCACTCTAAAGTGCTGCTATTTAGGAATTAGCCAGCATATCCTGAATTTCAGTTTTTCAGTTTAATTTTTCTGTAAAAAATATCCTGAGTTGTCCTGAAGTTGAAATTTTTAGTTTAAAATTTCAGGACAAAATAAGTATTGGTTAATCCTTAAAGAACATCCCTGAGAATGGCTATCTGTACACTTGCCCCCTGAATATCTCGGCAAAAGCGAAAATGTCTAAATAAGAAGAGAGAGAGAAAATAGAAAAGTCCTGAATCGTTGAAATGGAAATCAATTGAACATATAACAACAAAATTTACTGTGCTCATTGCTTCAAAGTTCAAACTAAACGTGTGTGATCATGTATTACGTCCATGTTTCATTTGATTTATTAATAATTCCAAAATATGATCCTCGGGTAATGCTTGTATGGAAGGTGCACCATAAAATATTGGGCTTGAAGCTTTTACCTTAATTACCAATCTTACCAACAAGCCTATCGAGAACTAATGCTGTTGGTCATGACTACTATTAAAATCAATAATAGTTAAATTTATTGATTTTGTTATATGTTTAACGATGCACTTACCATAGAAACGACTTCTCTAGTGGCCAAAGCCAAAATATCAGCACATGAGACTTTGTTACGGCATTTGGAATCCTTGTCCACAGCTGCTTTGGCTTTGACAACAGTGTCAAATCCATCACCTGCTAATGAAAGATTATCTGGATGGTCCTTTTCTGCTTTTCTATTTGGTGACGACAATAGCATTGAAGCATCACACCCCTAATTAACATGGACAAAAATATACATGTTAGAAGAAAAATTATCATAAAAAAGTTGAATGACATATATAACACATAACACGTTTTATTCTAGAGAAAAGGGAACTAATTTTGTTGGCGATGCAAAGAAATAACAAGGGAATGATTTTTACTGTTTCTAGAGCAAGGAAAAAGTGAAATCAAGAAGAATTTCTATTTCAGAATTTATCACTTTTTTGAATATCTTAGAACATAAAGAAATAGCAAATTACAGCAGTTTTATATTTTATTTATTATTTTAGGAAATTCTTGATCATTTTGTGAATATTTGGATTTGGGAACAAAAGAAATTTCAACTTAGCTTTTAGTATTTTCCGAAGTTTTTTATTTCCAAAGTATATTTAGCGTTCTGAGCCGAAAAAAGTACACTGTACTTTCATTTTATTTGAATGATGAAATAAAGATAAATTTAAAGATAAAGAAGAAGATGAGATAATTCTTCGATTTGTTAATATTATTATTAATATTTAATACAGTATATATTTTTTGGAAAAATATTTTTCACTAATCAACCAAACACACACAAAAAATAGATATTTGCATGGAAATCATTTTAAAAAAAATATTTTATGAAAAAAATTAACTTCTGTGGTTCCAAACACACTCTAATAAGGTTTAAAAAAATAATCTAAGTACATACACGGACAAAGCAATCATGGAAGAAGAGTCGGAGAGTTGCTGGAGCAGTAACAAAAGTCTGCTGAAATTTCTGTCTAACCGCAGCACGAACCAGAGACTCAACATTTGGGCATGTGTTTTTGTAGAAATCACTTCTTAACTGAGCAAAAGCAGTAGCATTCAGCAAGAAGAAGAGAACAATAACCAAAGGAAACAGCAAACTTTTTCTTTGATTCTCCATTCTTCTTATTTGCTTTATCTTTTATTTTTTCTTTGAGAAGAAAACTGTTGGTATCACATGATTTTTTAGGGCTGCTGAAGTGTTGTATTTATACATACCTAGTGGCCCTTGACTACCAAGAAAATAAAGACATAAATCCAAGTGGGCAGTTAGATTAAGTTGGACTTATGCAAAATACACTCTGGCCATTTATTCAACATGATTTCAATGAGATTGTGGTTGAGTTATGGTGAGGTTTCTTTATTACTAACATTCTTTCATCACTAAAATTATTGATATGGAAGATCAATTTGAACCATTGGATCATTAAATGACATAAACTAATAGTTGTCCCAGGTATCTCATGGCTTACAACCTCAGCCAATAGATAAGGAGAATGTTGAACACCTTAAAGAGAGAAGGCATGAAATAGTACCAAGTGCGTGTCCTAAAATAATTCATTTTACGAATACATTACTCTTTAGATCCCATGGTCAAAATTTTGAGCTTATTGATTTTAAATCCTAGAAAATGCAACTTATTAGATTCTGAATAAATTATTTATATATGTTAAATAAATTTTTAAGAGAAAATTATACGTAAGTATAGCTCAAACACATACATTGCAACCGGATGACTTGAACACAACTTTGTAACTCTATAGCTCAATGATAATAGGCCAGGTCCAAAAAAATCAACGTTTTTCCCATTTGAATTGATTTTCCATATCTTCTACTGCGTTTTTGTATGATTTTTTATTCTTTGCGCACAACTAGCTTAAATCGATCATATACACTCTTATTGTAGCTACAATTAAGTTTTTAAAGCCGGTAATTGGAGAATAAATTCGCGATTAGGATAGACAAACTCTAGTTGTATTACTTGATTTATTTGTGCAGGAATTACACATGCATTATAGTCAACATATAAGTATTAGGTTAACTTGAATAGGCGAACGAGGCGTCGAAAGAACTACGTAAGAAATATAAACTATATTAATCAACAAATCAGATACACCAAGTAGTCAATTCAACTGGAAAACTCAAAAGGATGGATGTTAATCCCATAATACCGAAATATTCTCATCTCATTGATCTTGCTCCTAAGTTGTTTGTGTGGTTTGCTCGTAATGTTGTCTTCTTGCTTTATTATTAATTTTTGCAGTAGTTGTAGTAAGTAAACTCACAATCATCTCTCGAAAAAATTAATTGAACGAATAAGTTATAAATAGTTTAGTTTAGTATAATCACAATTACTCATGGGAACAACACTCTATTTATCATTTTATTACTTGGCGATTGTGTATACTTGTGTGTGTGTTTGAACCTAATAATACTACTAGTAAATAAATGTTATTTTATAACTTTCACATTATTAAAAGTTCAAATTACGTGTGGCATATTGAATTAAAACTTTTGGTATCATATTTTAACCGCAAACTAAGTTTTCTACTAGTTTGTACTTTGATTTTTTTTTCGATTAGTTTTGATATACTATATACTAGTCAAGTTAAGCTCTTATATACTAAATCCCCTCTTCTATCTAGTGTTGTCAATACAACGAGATAGAAAAAGTACTTTCTATATATGGTTTCAATCCCATGAAGTTTCATTTAATGCCAAAAATTATACTCCAATAAACTACAAATCAACTGTTTATTTTAAAAATACCTCTTGATGCATATAATTTTGAGTAGTTTATCAAAAATGATTTGCAAGATAAAGCGCTACTCAAGAAACTTTTGGGTCATATTTTTCTTCTCCTTTTTTTGTTTCTTATTTTCTCTCTTGAAAATTGAAATGTCACCTCTAAAGGTTTTGATTGAAATATCATTTTTTATTGAGAAAATGCATAAAATCCTCATTCAACTTATCATGAAAAATCATTTACACATTTTAACTTTACGGGCAACCTATGTCCCTCCTATTCTTGTTTGGGGTGAATTTAATACCACCCTAAATGGTGACGTGGTAAAGACAGTAGTTTCACTCTCCCAAACTCGCGTGTAAGAGGGAAAGAATTTTTTATTTATTTTATTTTTTAATCTTTTTTAAACCCCTCCCAAAAGGATTAAAAATAGACATATATTAAAAATATTAAATCCAACACCCATTATCCTTGTTCCGCTCTCCCCGTCTCAATCTCTCTCCTCTGTAATTATGATTCAACAATTGTCATTTTAATGGAAAAAATGGAAGCTTAATTAATTCTATCAATTATCTTAATAAAAAGAAAAACAAAAGTTAATAGAACTAGGACTACCAAGAAATTCGAATTCTTCAGATCTAAGAAGCTTGAGTTTCAACTGAAATTTCAGTCGTGGTACACCTCAAATCAGTTGCCAAAACTTCTCAAACTTCGAATTCAAGTTTGCAAAATAGTTTCCAACAATTGAAGATAATACCCAGTTGATTTATAAGTAAATTTTTTTCCGATCTGAAACAAAATTCAGAAGGTCAGATCTTGCTAACATATCCTACCTTTGCTAATTATTGTTATGGAGGTCAGAACTTGCCCAACAAAAATCCTCTAAAACAATCGGACCATCTTAAGAAGGCATTTGTGCTTCTTTCATTTGTTTTCCCAGTGATTTGAAGAAGAGTATAATCGCATAGAAAAGAACATGAACAACAAATTTGTCGAGGGTGAACATGATTGATTTAAATCTCAAATTTGAATTCTAACCCATATGGATTTGATTTGTTTTTTCAGATTTTCAATAAAGTTGTTCTTTGAGTATAGATAAAATTTTTATTGGTTGTAACCTGTGAGAAAATCAATAATTTAGCAATGTAAAAAACTTTGGATTGGAAAAAAAAGTTGAATATGAGAGAACGAGGAGAGGGGAGGAAGAGAGAAGAAGAAGAACTGCATTTGGCTTTTGGTGAAAGGACAAAACAGTCCCTCACATAATAGGGGTGAAAGGATAAAACAGTCCCTCAAAATAAAATAATTAAATAAGTGAAAAAAAAATAAAGCAGATATTGACACGTGGCGCGCGTGTACTACACATCCCACCATAAGACTGACTAAGTATTACCAATGGGGTATTAAATTCATCCCAAACAAGAATAGGGGAAACATAGGTTGCCCGTAAAATTAAGGTGTGTAAATAATTTTTCATGACAAGTTGAATGGGGTCTTTATGTATTTTCTCTTTTTTATTTTTTTCCTGGTTGGAATTTTGAAGCAATTAAAAACACATGAATCTGTCATTATCTTAAGAATTTAGTAGGATCAACCATTTGGGATAAAACCAATGGAGGCACATGAGATAGTCCAAAAATAACACAGCAAAAGAATGAGGCAAGTAGTAGGGGTGTCAATGGTTCGGTTCGGCCGGTTATTTTATAAAATTTGTACCATATCAATTTTTCGGTTATTTTATTATGTATAACCAAAATTAGACTTTTCGAAACCGTCCCAATCATGTCGGTTTCTCTTCGGTATCGGTACGGTTCGGTTAACTTTCGGTATTTTTTTAATATCATGTAAAATTCACCAGTAGAAGTAGAATTGCAATAACATACGTTCTTTTATAGGACTTAGCAAATCTCTCTAGACATTTTAACTGTTTAAAGGGTGATGAATTAAAAAAAAGATGGTTAGAGTATAGATCCATCAACTATTCTACAACAACGTAAAAGAAATCAAACAAAGGCAAAGAAAATATTAATCACACGAGTTGAAAGATATACCAAGTTGGGACTCAAGAATAAAGTCTATAGAAGATTAAATATTCAAAAAGATAAATCTAAATTATATGAAAGGAAACATATTTAATACATTGTAGTTTGCTACTCATAATCGCTAGAATACTTTGTGTCTTGCTAATAAAGATACTTGAAATAACTTAGTTTAAGTAGAAGTAACAGAATAGGTTTTAGGAATTAGTATTTTGAGTTTAATTACTTGTTGGCTTGTAATAGTTTTCATAATTCCAAGGCTCAAAGAAAATTTAATGCATTATTATTTTTAAACTTACTAAATAGATATATTTTCTACATGTAAAATTTATTCGGTACGGTTCGGTATTTTTTCGATTTATTTTTATAAAATAAAAAATCTACCCTAATTATCGGTGTGGTTATATATTTATATAAAAATCTACGATTTCTTAAAAAGAAACCTAAAAATCGGTTCGGTGCGGTATGATTCGATCGATTTAGTCGGTTTTCGAATATCTATTGACACCCCTATCAAGTAGTGACCAAGTGCGCCTCCAGATGGAATAATCATTTGTTCAGAAAATGACAAACAAAGCGCACATTTAGGGTCCTCCTTAAGCCATGTTATAGGTAGTTACCATTTCAACAATTAATTATTTAGGGCCTATTTGGCCATATAAAAAATTCATTTTTTTTCTTTTTTTTTTGAAAGTAGTGTTTTACCATAAAAATTTTAATTTTTACTTAAAAATAAATTTCGAAATTTTTGAAAATTTAAAAAAATTCTAAAAAATTATTTTTCAAAATTTTAACTTCAGATCAATCACACAAATTCAAAAATAATCCAAAATTGTCTTTATGTCCAAAACACAACTCTAATTTTCAAATAATATTTTACTTTTTTAAAAAAATAACTTTTTCGAGATTTTACAATTCTTATTTCCAAACTCCCACTTAATTTTGTCAAAAACCTAACCAACCACCCTGTACTCTCTCAAAAATAGTAAACTTAATGTTAGAGATCATTCCAATATCTAATAATTGTAACAGAATTTGAGTATCAGCTCTATACTACTTTAATAGTTTTAATGTAACTAACAAAATTTAATTTAAGCAAAAGAGACATAAGATCATGAAACTTATTTAATTAATATCAAAGTTAGTACTCCCTCCGTTCCAATTTATATAAACCTATTTCCTTTTTGGTCTGTTCCAAAAAGAATGACCACTTTCTAAATTTGGAAACAATTTAGCCTAAACTTATTTTATAACCACACAAATACTCTGGCCCCTTTTTGACTTGTCTAGGACCACAAATTCCAAAAGTCTTCATTTTTTTCTTAAACTCTGCGCCCAGTCAAATATGTTCACATAAATTGGAACGGAGGGAGTAGTAATTTATCCAAAAAAAATTAACTCATAAGATTTGAA